CGTGGCAAAATTTCAGAATAATTTTCTTTGGGCTGAACCAGATAATCATCTAGATTTTTAAATCCGTTTTTAACAGAAGAAATTGCAGGTCTTTTTATACAACCTTCCTTCACTGATCCCAGAAGCCGAAGATTAAAATGTGTTTTAGGAAGGCCAATATCAATAAATTTCGAATAAGGTTCCCAACCAATTCCATAACTTTTTCTGTAAAACCCTTAAGTTCTCTACAATCCACGAATTGAGTCCGAGGATAAATGATATGCCAACTACATTTTTCAGCATTTGATGAACTTGCTAAAGCAAAAGAATTTAAGAAAAGTGTACATTCTGGAATAAGGCTCAATGCATCTGCACAAGCAACTAAAATTCGAGATATCAAATCTTCTCGGGTAATTTTTTTACTATCTAAAGAAGGAAGTTGAGAATTATTAGAGTCAGACTTTTGTCTTGCATCAATATCGATTATCAAGCAAAGAGGCTGGTTGCCATCGATACATTCATGAGTATCAGATATTCTATAAACTTCGCTAGGATGATCGATCACTGTATAACCTTTTCCTACCATCCGAATTATATATTGAGAATGAATCTCTTCAGGTCGATATGTGTCTAAAAGCGCAGTATCATTTTTATCAGTATGACCATTGGATGCAAGCCAGTATTTATAAAATGTATGTTCTTTATGGCCAGGTTTATAATCAAGATTTGTTAAACCCATAAAAAGCCGTTTTGCTTCATTACATTCGGCCAACTTTTGATTTAAGCACTGTTGTTGTAATGATTCACGAAGACGTTTTTTTGTTTCACTAGATAAAATCATTTTATTGATTTGTATATATGCGTTGTTTGATCTAATAAAAAGTGTATAATGCGTTGATTTATCAACTTATAATAAAAGCGACATAAAAAGTTTAATTCGAAAAATAATTATTTCATATATGCAAAATTGAAAGTTATCGTTATTAATAATGGCATTTTATTCTTGCTCACATACTTATATTGATGAACAAATTTGTGGAAAAGGTTGTTATCGACAAGAGGGTTGCGCTCTTCATTGGAAAATGCGATTATGTACTCCTTGTAAAGAGTGTGGTATACCAACTGCCTCTATATATGGTATGTGTGTTAAACATGCTGGAAAATATCGCAACAAATCGAACTATCACAAAAAAAAGCAGGTCAAATTACTCGCAAAATATAATCATGAGAATGGATATATGCTATGTGAGGCACAAAATAGTATAAAATTAGATGAAATACCTTGATATACTACTATGAATCATTTTTTCTCTGGCTTCGAGTATATATGCAAGAAGGCCGGCTTGAAAATCATATACCTGACTTACCCGATTCTAGACATGAAGTATAATCATATACCTGGCATATATTGATTATTTTTTCCAGGATCTCTCTAAGTAACGTTATATCTTCTTTGATCCCTTCTATATTTTTGGTTATCTTATTACGTAAAGCTATGCATTCTAAAATCTTCGATCTATTCTGTGTCTTGTTCACGTCCATTTTCCGATAGAATTACAATAATCACCACCCATTCAATTTTTTCTATATATCAGTAAATTTCAAATCGATGATCAGTTACCCATATGTAGGCATATACTCTCTTTTCCGAACATGGGAGGAAAAAGGATAATTAATTTCGATTTGAAAAAAGAATCTCCATAGTATATATCAGACGAAATTAGTCTATATAAAACATCTCAAACATCTCAACTAATATATACTAACCATGGCAAAAATCGCTACATCGTTTGTAAATCGTTACAAATTGACTCCACAAACTAGTTTACCCCAGCTTAGTAGTTATACCGAAGAGTTGGCTAGTAAACTTTCAGATGGCAAGACAAAAGAACAGGCTCGAAAAGCTAGAGATCAGGCTAAAAGACGCTTCCAAGAGTTGGGATTAAATAAGGAGCAAGCTGATACTCTTATTTCCATTTGAGCTCCTGGGAGGCATGTTGTGGAAAAAGACCCCATCAAAATTATTGCTCAGGATATTATAAAAAATAATCTCTCACCTGAAGAGATAAATGGAATAACATACGACTTGGCTTCTTCTGCTCCTACTACTGTTGCTGGAAATTCTCGTCTTAATTTATTACGAAAAGAATTGCGTAGCTTAGGAACTGATTATCTCATCACTGAGGCAACGAAAATACCCTTTATTACTGAAGAAGCAAATCAGATTCAAGCAAGAAACCGTATTCTTCGTGGAATTAATGGTTACGATTGTCCCAAGTTCTTTTACCTGGAAAAAGTTCAGGAAAAACTTAATGAATGTGATATTACCAAGTCCCCTTCAATGCAAAATCTAATAGACGTAATGGTAATGCTATGTATGCGATCAGCAGATGTGGAAACTCTCCATATTAATCGATACAGACCAAGTTGTGAGTCATGGTATAATCCTGACTATTCTGTGTATTGCACTGGTTATGCAAAAAATAAAGATGAAGTAGGAGAACCCCGACCATTTCTCTCAATGGAAAAAAATCCAATACGAGCAAGAGAATTACTTATCTGGATTCAGAGATCAATACTGGACAAATTTCCCTTCTTATTAAAAGATAAGGATGGAAATACTAACGTTGCACCACTTAATCAATTCTTAAGTCACCATAAAATTACCTCGTTTATATTAAGAAAAATAGGAGCTGATCATGCTTCCAGAATACATGGAGGCAGGAATGATTCCCGTCATCAATATTTACGACAATTGGCATGTAGGCATAAAATAGGTCATGCTTCATCAGTTGAACATTATGGTGTAATGAATGATAGATCAATTATTACAGTGCCTAAGCAAGAAAATTTCGAAGTCAAGGATAACTAATCACGCTTTTTCGCTTTTATTGCAGAACAATGACTTTCACCTATCATATCCACAGTAAAATCTTTATCATCATTAGACGATTCAGAGTCAAACCCAGACCCAGATGATGATGAAGTTGAGGATGAAGACTCAGATGTGGAATAATTATGAATGCGTTTTTTCTTTTTTATTGTGAAACAATGGCTTTTTGAGCTTACAAATATGACACATCATTGTTTAGCAATACTTGGGTTTGTTATTGAGTTTATAATATCTTGCTGAATCTCAGGTTTTACTATCTCCAGTAATCGGTGAAGAGAGATCTGAATTTTTTTACCTGATACTTATTTAGTAATATGGGATACAGCTTTATCAGCTTTGGTCATTGTAAATGTTAAATTATTTTATAAATACGAATTTAAAAGTGCAGAATTAAATATATTGTTATAATAAAACATCATGATGAGAATTTTATCTTGCGAAATTAACAAAGTACCAGTAACAGTTATACTAGATTCTGATGCTAATTGTAATATTATAGGCGAGAGTATAGCAAAAATAGTGTCTAAAATTAATTATCCGAACTCAGTTATTTTTTTGGTTATAATATATATCATTAAATAATATTTGACATGTTTTTCATAGAAACAATCGTAGAGGGAAAAATCCTAGTAAAAGCATTAATCGATACAACATCTAAATCCAATACTATTAGCAAGCACTTGTATAATATGCTTGAAGAAGATTATGGGTTAGAAGGTATATCCGGTGATGATTTGATAGCCAAAGAAATAAAATGCTTAGATTTGCAATTTCGGTATAAAGGAAAGTGACGAAGCTTAGATGGTACCGAAGTAATAGATTTTCAAATTCATAAAAATCCATCATTTGATTTGGTGCTAGGACGGAATTGGTTATGAATGCACGAAGCAAAAATTAGCTTTGGATTTTCTCTGGAAAATTGTAAGCGCTATGCTAAAATTGAGATAGATGGTATGAGTATCCCATTAATCGAAGAAGATAGCAGACCTACAGGCGACTCTTCGAGCCATAAAGCCAGCTCCACTAAAAATAACTTATCTAAATCAACGGAATCTAAACCTGGTCTAGCTCAAGAGGAGGTTATGAATATAATCAACAAAATTCTCTCAGGTGCCCAAGATATTAAACATCAAAAGAGCCATCGTGGAATATTTCACAATATACCTCCCGCACCTCCAACACCCAGAAGATTAAATGATGATGTTTCCAAAAATAGTGGAGCTAGCAAGATTAAGAAATATCCTAAAATAGATTTAGGTGATGGGGGTGGAAATCTTTCAATCAAAATGCACCTCAATAATATTTGGAAATCGGTTCATTCTATAGAAAATGATACATATTATGGGATTTCTAAAAGACTTTCCAATATTGAGAATGAACTGAGATGTGGAAAGATAAAAGAGTTGGTACGGCTAAAGGATAGGGGCAAAGTCCCATTGCTTCGCAATAATGAGTCAGATCCTTCTAATTCTCGCTTACACCAAAATAAGAGCAAGAAAAATAAGATCAAGTATTCCATTATAGAATCGGAATCAGATACTAACTCTGATACTTCTGAATCAAGCACTTTTTCGTCTACTTCGGGATCAGAAGATACACATGTATATAAGAGCGTGCGATGTCGCAAAGTAAAAAAGAAAAATTAATTATGTGTCGGAGACACTAGCTCTACTATAACCACATTGTAATCACATCATGTTATAACGGGCCTAGGGGGTGATGTCATGTGTTTTAAATCGACGAGTCAGAGATCAACCTGTGGGACATAGATAATCACCAATAGAAAGATAGTTGGTTTATTGATCAAGATTGATAATGCGTAACAATTATCCGAAAAAATTGATTATGATAGTAAATATCGAGTTGAATTGGTCAGGTCTTCAGGCGCCTCTACAGGCATGATATTACTACGCTTTCACCGTTACTATTTGGATTGAATTTTGATAAGCATCCCAGCATTTGAGATGATAGATTTTTGTATTAACATAATCTCCACTACCCCATTCACCCTCTACATTATATCTTATATTTTTTTTATATCTTTATTGCATATAGGGCAGGATACTGAACTATTAAAATCAAAATAATCGTGATTTTTATTGCTATACTTTGAAGATAAGTAAGGGAACTACTCTAGCACTTTATTAATGACAGATTTTTGCTTCTCTTCTGGATCATTGGGTAAAATAGAGATTGGAGGCCGAGAATTATTGTCAGAGGTAGACACAAGGTGGTTAGATGTATTTACCTGTGATATACTTACTTCAGTATCTGGTAATTTTGAGAAAACAGAGTTTCGAGCCTTTGTCTCAACTTGATTATTTTCTTGGAAATCTATTGCAGAGCAATGACCCTCTGGGTCTAAAGGAATCGATGAGTCGGAGACTCGAGACTTTGTCTTTTCAGTATGTATACTTACCTCTGTTTTGGGTAAGTCATCTGAATCGTCCTGGTCATCGGTATATTCTATGTCAGGCTTTTTAGCGAAATGATCAATAATCGTTTGAATCTGAGAATTAGTAAATCTTGAAATAGCATCTGTACTAAAGGTTTTGATATGCTGAATCTTATCTATCTTTATTTTTTCGAATAAATTATAAATCTTTCTAGCCTTTTGGTTTTGCTTTTGTAACATTTTACGCTTGGTATTTAGTTGTGCAATAATAAAATCATAAATTTGTCCTTTCGCCTTTTTCTCGCCAATATGATCAGATTTCATAAGATTTTTAACCTGGTTATCAAATTCTATAATATAATAATACCAACATGTAATTTCATCTTGATTAACTTTAATTGCTTGCTTTTCTGCATCACAAGCTTTCTTATACAAATGTGTTAAATTTAGTAGTACTTTACTTTTTGATGCAGAAAACAAAATAACATCATCTTTTCCACTACTTTCCTGAATTAAATTTTTGGTCACATGATTTTTGGCAAACATTTTTGGCGAATTGTTCGCTGAAATTTTGGTGGCTTGGCTCTGATCTTTAATAGATGTTGATATCTCCTGTATTAAACCTTGTTCTTTTTTCTGCTCGAGAGATATACTAGATTTAATATGTGCTTTAGCACTAACTCTGTTATTAGACATGTAAGTGTCCTCTTTTGGAGAATTTTCAGTAAGTGACTCACGTTGAAGCTTTTTCTCTCTATTCCTTTCAATTATTTCGATACGAACCTGTTCATTATATCTTTCAACCAGAAAATTATCCATTTCCTTATCTTCTAATGATTTAGGCTTTACGCATATGGATAATTCTGTTGAAGATGAATTGGAGACTTGAGACAAAGTTTCTTCTTGATGTTCATCAGAATTTGAATCATTAATAGATATATCAGGTGTGAAAGTATTATCATGTCCTGAGTCTTGTTTAGGGTTACTCTCAGAATTCGTTCCACAGGAAGTATCGATATTAACCGAAGATTGTTCTTTTGGGACGAATATATTTACCTGTTTGGTTTCTCCGGTATCATCTGATTTAGATGTGAGAACAATCTCACTTCAAGAAATAATAAAGTTACTCTTTTCTTTAGATATGATAGTATCCCCATCCCATGAGTCATTTTGTGATACCATTTGTTCCAATTTCATAACTCTGGATCTCAGCTCAATGTTTTCTTTTGCGGATCGTTCTAATTTCACAATTCTAACTTCAAGCTCATTTTTTTCTTTCGTGATCTGTTCCAATTCTGCGATCCTAGCCAAAAGCCTGATATTCTCTTCTTTTAACAAATCTAGTTCAGATTTTGTGTTTCCCATTGTTTTATACAATATATAGATATGTTCAAAAGTTTGAATAAATAGAAATAATGAGTGCGTGACCAAAAAGTTAAAAAAGTCACGCCGTTTGCCTTTGCCAAGAAAAAAAATAATTACAATTAATATGTTTACAGTATATGCGAATCACATGGGAGCGATGTCATGCGTTTTATTTCAAAGAAATGGCTCTTTGAGCCTAAACCCGCAATCGGAGATGTCATAGTCTCACATGCAAATCGTCAATAATCGGTAAGTTGCATATTTACAACAATCAACCAATCAAGATTATAGGGACAAAGTCCCATGATTCGAAGAATCGCCTAACGGCCTGCTATGCAATAATGCGTCGTTCTATATCTGGATAATTGTTACATAATCTATTTCGGGCGTTAAATCTATTTCGGGATGTATTACAAGCATATAATTAATTTTCCGGTGTGACTATATGGCTGTTACATCTCATGCCATGGCATAGAAAAATCGACATATAATCTTTTTTATTCCAATACAAAGTACACCACATGAAAATATCGACATAATATATAATCTCCCCAACTCGAATCCTTTATTAACAAAGCCAGTATGACCGATATAATAAAAATATATATGACAGAGATACTAGCTCCTCTATACAATATCTCTATACTTACCTAATAATTATAGGGTGGAGATGAAACAGTAGGACTTGGGTTAACATTTCGGGGTGGATGAGTATTAGCTTGTTCTAATGCCTACACTAATAAGCTTTTGTTAACGATCATGATATTTCTTAAGGTTAATAATAAATGAACTAGAGATTTAGTGTGTGATGTGTGTGATGTTAATGGAATTTCAGAATGGTCTAGATGAAAATATCTTGGTATATCACCCAAGTCCTTTACTAGAACATTGAGACATAAACTCGTACCGGCAATCTGGAGCCCAACAACCCCAAATTGGTTTCCGGTCAGTCTGTACGATGCGCCTATAAAGCTCATCCCATCCAATGTTTCTCTCCATAATTTTACGTCGTCATCATCTTTTTTCGAATTAGTACAGATGATACGTGAAAACTCGACATACATTAACTCTAAAATCTTTTCATCCCGTTTCAGTAAACCCATGATATCGGACTTTTTTCCCATTCGATCTTCATCTACTCTTACACTCCGTCTAGCTTTACTTGCTAAACTTTGACGCTCCGTCATACTTAAGCAAATAGTATTCCCCAAACTTGATCGAAGCAAAGGAATTATAACATCTGTAACATAGGTACCTTCACTTTGCTCACTGCGAGATGTACTAGTCACAAATGCGGGATTATTCCATATCTCGTCATTAATGCATAGAATACACGGATATGGTCAGATAAAAGTGTATTGGGGATATGTGAAAATATATATCAATCACCAGGAAATTACTTAACAGTGTTCCAAGAATTCGTTCAGTTATTTTTATTATTGAACTTTCATCCTCTTTCCACCTTTTATCATGGGAAATGTTCCTTATAACCCACAAAGTATTCGAATTGTTAATATTACTTATAAATTCATTACACTTTGTCGTAACCGATTCTGGTATAGTGCATTTCATGTTTTCTTGTGGTTCCAAAAAAGTAGACTTCTGTCTACGTCCTAGATTTTTTACCATGAATGAGTCGTCGCTAATAACCATGCTTGCTTCGAGATCACGCCATGTAAGATTCGACAGGTCTACATTCTCGAGAGTTTGTCTAAGCGCTCCATAAAGACTCGCATCTGCTTCCGATGCAGTGTGCTGGATATACAATCCTATTAGTTTTTAGAGCAATAACACTTTAAACCATTTTATACTTGCCTCGAGTTTATATTTTAATTTATTAATATTCTCATATATTTCTTCTCGAGAACGATCTGGGTATGATTCCTTTCCTACGTTCAATGCCTTGAATGCCTTAAGACCTCAAACACTAATATATCCACTTTCGGTCTACGGTAAATGCAATAATATGTACCGGTACATTAGTTAATCTCAAAGTTATAAGTTATGTCGTATTCACCTCCGCACATGTGCGTTTCAGAAATTATATGATGACACTGTTTTGGCTGGATAGTCACGTACAGTTAGAGAGGAGCAGAAACCCTCTACATCTAGAAGACATAGCTCTTCCGGGCCGGCATTCCCCAACCTTTAGCTATGACATACCAAAACTAAATATTCACATTTACCATAGACTCATCATTAAATATTGATACTACAGAATCTGAATTTTTACCAACCTGGGATAACATCTCCAATACTTTTGTTTTTCGCTCAATAGTTTCTATTTTCAACAGAGACGAATTTACCGCACGGTCTATCACCCCTCTTACATAGTCGAAAGAGGGTAAAATGTTGTTTTCTATTACCAGGTAAACAGCCAATGCACCACAAAGACTGTCTAACGGCTCTTCTAATAAAAGTGCTTCAATCTTAGATACTAAATGTGCCATGTTAATAGGTGTTTGGTTAAGCGGAAAAAAGTATTGTTACTATATGAGAATTTGAAATCGCAAGTAAAAAGAAGCGACGAACGAACATAACGTAAATATACTGTCCTTTTAAAACTTTCACTTCGCTCATTTCTGGCCTCATTTAGGTATGGGAATGGTAGATTCGGGGAATGTGGAACTGGAGCGATGCAATGCACAACGAAAAAACTTTTCACAAAGAAAATACGTATGTCATGAGTTGGACAATCAGATTTGGAATTTGTGGTAACAATTAACGGGTTACATGATTACATCATGCATAAAAAGTTCCATGACCTTTGATTTTATTTTGTGGGTATAGTATATAATATGTTGATCAAACATACGCAATCGATTTTGGGTTACATGATTACATCATGCATGAAAAGTTCCATGACCTTCGATTTTCTTCTGTGATATAGCATGTGATATATGTTGATCGAACATCTGTATTATGCAATCAATTTTTCAGGTTACCCAACAATTAGCAGATCACACGATTACATCATGTATGGGAGAAGTTCTGTAATATAACGATAACATGTGATTTTATTTCATTTGCGAAGCAAAGCACTACGTGCCTCTTTTTCTGATAATTGATTTTATGTGTGGTAATAAGGGGTGTTTTCATTTGGGATCATCATTACGAGATATACAAATCAGGAATTATCACAAGAGACTAAGCTAATTTATTGCTGTTTTGTGAAATTAATGCCAATCTTTGCTTTTCAGTTAAGACCATCTACGATTTCCTGTAAATATTGAGCGATTCCGAGTCGAAGTAATTAATGATCACCAAATCTGAAATTAGCTTTCATAACATCTGAAATTGGTTTTGTTAGTCGCGAAGAGTGTGATATATGTGCTTTGGCACTAACTTGGTTATAAAAATGAGTTGTGTATATGGAAAACTTATGTGTCAGAGACACTAGCTCCGCTATCCGGTTATACATCTCACTATGTCTGTTAATATCACATCTCTCGAAACCCTTCCCTGTAAAAAAAAATAAAAAATAAAAAACAAAAATCAGGAAAAAATCCGGTTTTTTAGTTCCGGAAAATCACAGGTTTTGTAAACAAATTTC